TTCTGCAAGTGAAGCTATTAATCTGAAATATCTATAATACATGGGCCCAAAAACATGTCCAGAGGATACAAGCTGGAGTTTCCTGTCCTGCTGCCTCTATGCTTCATGCTGTCAAATGTGCATGCCACTCCCGACAAAAAAGCAGCCTTGTTTGCTGCACTGGACAAGTTGCACTCTCAGGGAATCATTGGCACTGTTCCAGAACCAAAAAAGTTTTGCAGTTACTATTCCAACCCGTTCATAGTGATGAAGCCAAATGGTGATGGTGATTCTTAACCACTTTAAGACCGGCTAAAGTACATGTATGTGGCCAACTTAAAGTGATTATACTAGGATGATGCAACCTGGCATCATCCCGGCACTGTTTTTTTTTTTTCTGTAGGCAACCAGCTTTCATGTAAAAGCAATCCTAGCGGCTTATTAGCCACTGGATTGCTTTTATGGGTGGTAGAAGGGGGTCCTCCCCTCCAGCGACCATCTGGGCTCTCCCCTCTCAACAGGGACTGAAGCTGGTGGTTCAGCTGGCTTACCATAGAGGTGATAGGGAACCAGATCCTCCCTGATCATCTTCATAGTATAAGAAACTGGACGCGATAAGGCTTTCATCACTTCCGGTTTCCCCAGCATGGAAACAAGCAATTTATGGCTTGTAAAAATCTCAGGATAAAACCGATTTTAGTTTGATCTGATGCTTTAAAGGGCAGAGATCTGCGGTCTAATAGATCCCAGATCTCTCGACAAAGAGGACCTGTTATGGCCCATGCTATTAAAAGATGTTGTTCGTCCCTTGTGATAGCAGTAAAAGCTGTCCCAACTGTGTTCACATGCAAAAAGCGAGCACATGCACTGGTCCAACAAGCATGCATAAACGGCGATCACATCACACATGATATCGCCGCGTACATTAGAGCGAGAGCAATAATTTTAGCACCAGACCTCCTGAGTAACTCTAAACTGGTAACCTGTAAAGGCTTTTAAAGTGTTGCCAATGGAGTTTGCAAGGACCGTAGCTTGGCGCCATTCCACGAGCATGCGCACTTTTAAAGTGCGACTTGTTAGGTATCGATTTACCCAGGCATAACATCATCTTTTATAATTTACCACACAATTGGGTATTGTATTGTGTTTTTGTGCATTACAATTCATTGAAGTGTATTTGTTCCAAAAAAATGCATTTGAAAAACCACTGCGCAAATACCGTGTGATATAAAAAAAAGTACAAAACCCACCATTTATTCTCTAGGGCCTCTGCTGAAAAATAAATAAAATTTGAATGTAAATATAATATATATATATATATATATATATATATATACACACACACACACACACACACCTCCAAAAAATGAAAGGAACACTTTTCAATCCTAGTATAGCATCACATCAGTTAACCATTTGACGACCGGCCAATAACTGTATGGCGTCCGGAAAAATGCACTAGCTTTCCGGGAGGCCGCCATATGGCGTACTCCCGCACATGCGCAGTTCGCACGCTTGCAGAGCCGCGCAGCGGCGCAATCTGTCACCGGCCTTGTAGCTCGGACACGGCCGATGACAGATCTGAGTATCGGCCCCGTTGCCGGTACCATGTGACCTGCTGTGACCAATCACATGAGAGTTGTATACAATGGATGGCTTCATTCATGCCATCCATTGTATACTAGTGTCTAGCTGTGAATGGTCACAGCTAATCACATGCACATGTCATGTAATTAGCTGTGGCCAAATCACAGCTAAGCACAAAAAAAAAAAAAAAAAAACGTGAATGAATCGATGTCATTCAGGTAAATGCTTGCTTATAGCAAAGTAATTCTTTGCTATAAGCAAAAAAAAAAAAAAAATACTGATCACTTCCCCAAAGTAGTACAATGTTACTATGGTAACATTGTACTACTTTGGACATAGTGAAATATGAAAAAAAAATCTTAAAAAAAAAATGTAATAAAAATTTTAAATTATAAAAAAAAAATATATATTTTTTTTTTTCACACTGTCACCAGTGTCCCTGGTCACCGCCATGCCAGTTATATGATGACGCTGTACTGCACTGGTGACAGTATGTAAAAAAAAAAAAATAGTGAAGCTAATTTTTTTTTATTTTTTCATTTTCCGAAAAATTGTGACAAAAAAAATACAACTTAAAAAAACTCGCCATGCCTCTTATGAAGTATGTCAGACTGTCTATTTTGCAAAAAGGGGTAATTTGGGGGATATCTGTACTATTCTGACATTCTTGGACCTCAAGAAATTAGATTGGCTGTCAGTACTTCAGGATTGATCAATATTCAGATCTATACCATAGTTTGTGAACTCTCTATATCTACAAGGAACGTATGATGACACCCAAATGCAAACGTCCTACAAACTAAAAAATACATCCTAATTGGGGTTATTTTCACCAAAGACATGTAGCAGAATACATCTTGGCCTAAATTTCTGAAGAACAATTATTTATTTGTAAACATTTGTAACAGAAACAAAGAAAAACGTGTTTTTTTTTTTCAAAATGTTTGGTCTTTTTTTGTTAATTTAGCAAACAATAAAAACCCCAGCGGTGATTAAATGCCACCAAAAGAAAGCTCTAGTTGTGTGAAGAAAATGATAAAATTTTAGTTTGGGTACAATGTTGTATGACCGCGCAATTGTCATTCAAACTGTGAGCGCCGAAACCTGAAAAATGGCCTGGGCGGGAAGGTGTAAAATTGCCTGGTTTTGAATTGGTTAAACTCCTGGGATATCGGTCTGGTCAGTTAATTAGCCGAGGAGGTTGCTAATCAGACTCAGCTGCTTTAGTGTTAATGAAATTAATAACAGGTGCACTAGATGGGCAATAATGAGACGACCCCAAAACAGGAATGGTGTTACAGGTGGAGGCCACTGATATTTTTTCCCTATTCATCTTCTCTGACTGTTTTTCACTAGGTTTGCATTTGGCTAGGGTCAGTGTCACTACTGGTAGCATGAGGCGATACCTGGACCCCACAGGCAGTTCTACTCCTCCAGGATGGCACATCAATAGCCAGAAGGCTTGCTGTGCCTCCCAGCACAGTCTCAAGAGCATGGAGGAGATTCCAGAAGACAGGCAGTTACTCTAGGAGAGGTGGACAGGGCTGTAGAAGGTCCTTACGCCATCAGCAGGAATGGTATCTGCTCCTTTGTGCAAGGAGGAACAGGATGGGAACTGCCAGAGCCCTACAAAATGACCTCCAGCAGGCCACTGGTGTGAATGTCTCTGACCAATCAGAAACAGACTTCCTGAGGGCCTGACATCCTCTAGTGGGCCCTGTGCTCACTGCCTGGCACCATAGAGCTCGAATTGGCATTTGCCATTGAACACCAGAATTGACAGGTCCACCACTGGTGCCCTGTGCTTTTCACAGATGAGAGCAGGTTCAGCCAGAGCACATGTGACAAATGTGAAAGGGTCTGGAGAAGCCAAAGAGAACGTTCTGCTGCCTGTAACATCGTTCAGCATGACTGTTTTGGTGGTGGGTCAGTGATGGTCTGGGGAGGCAAGTCCATGGAGGGATGCACAGACTTCTACAAGCTAGACAATGGCATCCTGACTGCCATTAGCTATCGGGATTAAATCCTTGGACCTGATGGAAGACCCTACACTGGTGCAGTGAGTCCAGGGTTTCTCCTGGTGCATGACAATGCATTGAGTATGCAGGCAGTTCCTGGAGGATGAAGGAATTGATACCATTGAATGGCCCCCACGCTCTCCTGACCTAAATCCAATAGAACACCTCTGGGACATCATTTTTCGGCCCACCCGACGCTGCCAGATTGCACCTCAAACTGCCTAGGAGCTCAGTGATGCTCTGGTCCAGATTATATATATAATGTTTGGGGGTTCTAAGTAATTTTCTAGAAAAAATACTGATTTTTTTTCATGTAAAAAACAGTGTCAGAATAAGCTTGGTCTTCAAGTGAAAATTTCCAAACCTTCCCTGGGGACTAGCAGCACATCTGCCACACCTCCCAATGCTCTTCATATTTCTTTCTATTGGTTTAGAGCAGAGGTAGGAAAACACTGAAAATGGAGATCTACCTTAACATGGAAAGTGCAGCACCCTTTTTTTTTTCTTCAAAAGACAGAAACTAGTAAGGCCCTAAAAAGGTAGTGATGGCATGAAAAAAAAAAAAACTTATAAAAACATTTCTCAAAGTAAAAATGTAAACTTACATTACAGTTAGCTTCAGTAAGGACAGATCTGAGTTCTGCACAGCTCTAGCTAGGAGCTTAGACATGCTCACACTGCTTAGTCCGCCACTCAGTCAATCTCTCCTGCTTGTCTGGCGTATCAGAGGTTACTGGACAACAAGCCTGACTCGGCACTATACTGCCAAACGTATTGGGCTGCCTGCCTTTACACACACCGGAACTTTAATGGCATCCCGGTCTTAGTCCGTAGGTTTCAATACTGAGCTGGCCCGCCCTTTGCAGCTATAACAGCTTCAACTCTTCTGGGAAGGCTGTCCACAAGGCTTAGGAGTGTGTCTATGGGAAGGTTTGACCATTCTTCCAGAAGTGCATTTGTGAGGTCAGGCACTGATGTCGGACGAGAAGGCCTGGCTCGCAGTTACATAGTTAGTCTGGCTGAAAAAAGACAAAAGTCCATCCACTTCAACCATTAAAAAAAAAAAGTTATTATCCTATACCCACAGTTGATCCAAAGGAAGACAAGAGTCTCCACTCTAATTCATCCCAAAGGTGTTCTATCGGGTTGAGGTCAGGACTCTGCAGGCCAGTCAAGTTCCTCCAGCCCAAAACTCGCTCATCCATGTCTTTCTAGACCCTGCTTTGTGCACTGGTGCGCAGTCATGTTGGAACAGGAAGGGGCTATCCCCAAACTCTTCCCACAAAGTTGGGAGCATGAAATTGTCCCAAATGTCTTGGTATGCTGATGTCTTAAGAGTTCCCTTCACTAGAACTAAGGGGGCCAAGTCCAACCCCTGAAAAACAACCCCACACTATAATCCCCCTCCACCAAACTTTACACTTGGCAAAATGCAGTCAGGCAAGTTCCGTTCTCCTGGCAAACGCCAAACCCAGACACGTCCATCGGATTGCCAGACAGAGAAGTGTAATCCATCACTCCAGAGAACACGTCTCCACTGCTCTAGAGTCCAGTGGTGGCGTGCTTTACACCACTGAATCTGACGCTTTGCATTGCACTTGGTGATGTAAGGCTTGCATGCAGCTGCTCGGCCTTGAAAACCTATTCCATGAAGCTCTCTACGCACTGTTGCTGTGCTAATCTGAAGGCCACACGACGTTTGGAGGTCTTTAGCTCTTGACTCTGCAGACAATTGCCGATTTCTGTGCACTATATGCTGACCCTGCTCTGTCATGTTACATGGCCTACCACTTCAGGGCTGAATTGCTGTTCCCAGTTTCTTCCACTTTGTTATAACACCACTAACAGCTGAGTGTGGAATATTTAGTAGCAAGGAAATGTCACGGATGGATTTATTGCTCAGGTGGCAACCTATCAAGGTACCACGCTCTAATTCACTGAGCTCCTGAGAGCGACCCATTCTTTCACAAATGTTTGTAGAACCAGTCTGCATGCTTAGGTGCTTGATTTTATACACCTGTGGCCATGGAGGTGATTTGGAGGGCTGGCCCAATACTTTTGGTAATCTACTGTACCATAAATTTCAATGCATAATGGGCATAGATAATCCACAATTAAAATCCATGTGAATAAAATGCTCTGTACATAAAGAATCAATCCACATGACAACTGTATGTTGTGACCAGTCAAACGTGTGCTCTCTCCTCTGTGCCTTTTAAATATATACACCACACTCACCAGATGTTGTTGATGTCTTAAAAAAGTATTCCCCTTGAAATTTTCCACATTTTGTCATGTTGCAACCAAAAACGTAAATGTATTTTATTGGGATTTTATGTGATAGACCAACACAAAGTGGCACATAATTGGGAAGTGGAAGGAAAATGATAAATGGTCTTCCAAATTTTTTTACAAATAAATATCTGAAAAGTGTGGCGTGCATTTGTATTCAGCCCCTTTTACTCTGATACCTCTAACTAAAATCTAATGGAACCGATTGCCTTCAGAAGTCACCTAATTAGTAGAGTTCACCTGTGTTTAATTTAATCTCAGTATAAATACAGCTGCTCTTTGAAGCCCTCAAAGTTTTGTTAGAGAACATTAGTGAACAAACAGCATCATGAAGGCCAAGGAACACACCAGACAGGTCAGGGATAAAGTTGTGGAGAAAACTAAAGCAGGTTTGGTTATAAAAAAAATATCCCAAGCTTTGAACATCTCACGGAGCACTGTTCAATCCATCATCTGAAAATGGAAAAAGAGTATGGCACAACTGCAAACCTACCAAGACATGGCCGTCCACCTAAACTGACAGGCTGGGCAAGGACAGCTTTAATCAGAAAAGCACCCAAGAGGCCCATGGTAACTCTGGAGGAGCTGCAGAGATCCACAGCTCAGGTGGAAGAATCTGTCCACAGGACAACTATTAGTCGTGCACTCCACAAATCTGGCCTTTATGGAAGAGTGGCAAGAAGAAAGCAATTGTTGAAAGAAAGCCATAAGAAGTCCTGTTTGCAAGTTGTGAGAAGCCATGTGGGGGACATAGCAAACATGTGGAAGAAGGGGCTCTGGTCAGATGAGACCAAAATTGAACTTTTTGACCTAAAAGCAAAATGCTATGTGTGGCGCAAAACTAACACTGCACATCACCCTGAACACGCCATCCCCACCGTGAAACATGGTGGTGGCAGAATCATGTTGTGGGAATGCTTTTCTTCAGCAGGGACAGGGAAGCTGGTCAGAGTTGATGGGGAGATGGATGAAACCAAATACAGGGCAATCTTAGAAGAAAACCTGTTAAGAATCTGCAAAAGACTTGAGACCGGGGTTCACCTTCCAGCAGTACAACAAACCTAAACATAAACAACAGCCAGAGCTACACTGGAATGGTTTAGATCAAAGCATATTCATGTGTTAGAATGGCCCGGTCACAGTCCAGACCTATCCAATTGAGAATCTGTGGCAAGACTTGGAAATTGCTGTTCACAGACACTCTCCATCCTATCTGACAGCTTGAGCTCTTTTGCAATGAAGAATGGGCAAACGTTTCACTCTCTAGCAGACTTGCAGCTATAATTGCAGCGAAAGGTTGTTCAGGTGGACCCTTGCAGAATCGTACCACCCATTTACCTCTTGAAGAGGAAACCAGAAGAAAAACACAGGCACTTCCTTATACTTCAGTGACTGAGGTCACTGCTAACTGTCCCAATAAGATCAGAAAAGGCAAAGTGTACAGAAGTCCATGTCTGTCTTTCTAGACAATCCTGCACCAGGCCCAACCGAAACAAACTACTGATTCCACCTTGGCCTTCTATGGAGCCTCAGCTATCAGCGTTCATAGACTCTGGTTCTACCATCAATATCACGAATAAAGATCTTGTACTTCATCTCCGGATCCCTCTTGCCACCTTGAAAAGTCCTTTTTCTATTGCATTAGACAACTCTTCTTCTGATCACTCGGTGTACCTCAAATATCACCTTGACCATCAGAGCTGTATATCAGGACTCTATACATTTACTTTATCACCTTCTCTAGCTTCCTGGGTTACCCTCAGCTCAGATTATATAATCCACAAATAGATTGGACCCCAGGCAAAATATTATTCTGGTCTCGGACATACTTACAGACATGCCTGAACTTCAATGCCAATTTTTTTTTTAATAAAAGCTGTCCCCCCTTGTGCTAAGTGCACCTTTTAATGTGTTGCAAATTCCCTTCTTGGGCTATATTATATCTGGCTCTGGAATCACAAGCCATCTCTCAAAAGGACCCAGTCCAAGGATTTGAAAGCAGTTCCATGCTTCTTGGGTTTTGCAAACTTCTACAAGAAATTCACTAAAAACTTTTCCACTATTATGACCCATATTACTGCCCTAACCAAAATGGGAACTTACGCCAGCCATTGTCCTTCTGAGCCCCCCTATTACTGCCCTAACCAAAATGGGAACTTACGCCAGCCATTTTCCTTCTGAGGCCATCTCAGCCTTTCAAAACCTCGAGTCTGCTTTTGTGTCTGAACCTATTCTGATCCACCCTGATCCTTACCTTCCATTTGCTGTGGAGAATGATGTTTCAGATATGAGTGTTGATGCAGTCCTCTACCAGTGCTCACTTGCTCTAATTTACTGCATCCTTGTGCCTTTTTTCTCAGAGTTTTTTTTGTTCACATAAGAATTTGTGAATTTTTAGCTCTCAAGTATCCTTTGGAGTACATACATAATTTTTTTGTCTATACCTATTACATGAATTTGGAGTACATCAATATAGCCATACTCCAGACAGGTCTGCTGGTTTCTTCATTCACTTTGACTTTGTTATTACTTATCTGTTGGACACCAAAAATTCCAAAGCAGATTGCCTTATTCCACAGCTTTGAACCTTGTTACATGCTTTCCACAGAAATCCCCCACATCCTGCCTCCTACTCAGATCTTGGCTATTTTGTCTCCTGATCTCTCTGCTTCCATATCCAAGGCACAATCCGGTGACTCAGCCAATTTACCTTCAGAAAAATTAATGTTCCCACTTCATCTCAGGCTCAAGGTCCTACTCCAAAAGCCCATGACACAGAATTGGCCAGCACCCACGTACTGCCAAACACGGTTTCTGATTGCTCACAACCTTTGGTGGTGTACACTCTGCAAGGACATCCATGTTAAAGCCTATGAGATCTATTCCTGTTCTAAGCCTTCTAGAGACAGACCCTCTGGTCTGCCCTTTTCATTACTGGTCCCTAAATTCATCTAACTATAGATTTTACTGTGTATTTCAACTTGGGCCTCCTTAGTAAAACAATCCACTTTATTCCACTGGCTAAACTTACCTCATTTAAGCTGCTGGCATCCCTATTCATGAGGGAATGCTTAGACTTCAAGGTATACCCAAGAATATTGTTTTTGAGGTACACAGTTTGCATCTAAGTTTTGGAGAACTTTCAGTACTCTAATCTGCAACAGTGGGGTTTATTTACTAAAGCTGGTTCGCTCAGAATCTGGTGCAGCTGTGCATGGTAGCCAATCAGCTTCTAACCTTAGCTTATTCAATTAAGCTTTAGCAATAATACTTGTAAGCTGATTGGTTTCTATGCAGAAGTGCACTAGATTCTGAGTGAACCAGCTTTAGTAACTAAACCCCAGTATGTCCTTATTTCTGCTTACCACCGCCAAACTAATAGTAAATAAACCCCAGTATGTCCTTATTTCTGCTTACCACCCCCAAACTAATAGGCAGCCTGAGTTGACAAACCAATCTCTAAAGCAGCAATTACAAACTAGGGTTCCTCCAGAGGTTGCTAGGGGATCCTTACATCCTTACAGGTTCACTGACCTCTCATTTGATGGTGCCTGCATGGTTCCAGGACCTGCACCACTTGACAAAGCCACCAGTTACCTTATAAGCTGTGTGTAAGGGTGGTATTCTGGCAACCACTGTAAGCCTTGCATTCTTCCTACTGATCACTAATACAAAGGGATTTTTTTGCCGTTAACCACCTGAAGTTGGCTTAAGGGTTCCTCAATACTTGGAAATTATTATAGGGGTTCATTTGAGTTAAAATGGTTGAGAAACTCTGCTATAGAGACATATTTCTGCTGTTTTGTTTGTTTTCATCCATTTCTGTTTCCCAGAAATACTTTGCAAATCACCTTTTGCTACTGCGCCCCTTAGACTGGGGTTGATGACCAGGTCTGGCTCACCAAAAAAAAGGTCACCCTCAAGATTCCCAACTCAAAAACTGATCAACAGATTTCCTTTAGATCACAACTTCTTGCTTCCCTGACAATCACTAACATTTTTCACGTCTCTCTTCTGAAGCTGGTTCACCAGGACACCATTGCTTCTTCTCAATTTCAACGGATTGTCAACGGTCAAGAGGACTTCAAAATGGAGAGCATCTTGGGCTTCAGAAGATTTAGGAATTCAATTCAGTATCTCTTCCATTGGAAGGACTTTGGCCCAGAGAAAAATTCCTGGGTTCCTGCCTACCTGTCCATGCAAGCAATTTCCATTGTCTATGTCCTGAAAAGCCAGCCTCAAAGGGTCCTCCACGCTCATGCTCCTGAACCCTCTTCTCTCTCTGTCCTGGCTTGGACTTTGGCAGTTGTTGGGCAACCCAACTGGCTATGGCACTCTATATGAGCATCACAAGCCCTGGGCTTGTGACAGCATTTTTCCACCTATCTCCTGTACCCTTACCTTGGTTTGCGTGTTTCCATCACTTGCCTTGTCTTTGGATTCTCCTGTTTCTGATCTCTTGCCTGGATAACAAATTACTCTTCTTGGTGCTGCCCGCCCTTTCCACCACCAACTTCTGGACACTGTTGCAGGATACTTACCCGTTGTCTTACAGTCCATGCCTGATACCACTGAAGCCCACAGGAACTATTTTCCTTTACCTTTGCTCAGTCCCTTGTGACATCTTGCCAGAAACTACAGCATTGTGTTTTAAGCAACGGGACAACCAAGTCCTGGTAAGGTCTGCTTGCCTTAACAAAATGGGGC